CATTGTCAGACCCTATGCTGGTTCAGTGGGTCCTGGGTTCCTCTTGTTGCATGACAATGCCCGGTCTCATGTGGAGAGAGTATGCTGGCAGTTCCTAGAGGATAAAGGAATTGATACGATTGAATAGCAACACATACAGTCATGTGAAAAAGTAGGCACACCCAACATAAATTGTTTGCTTTTTCAACATTTTGAACAAGCAAACATCAGTTCTTGATGCATATAGTGCCCACAGATAAAGGTGATATACCTGAATAAATAACACATAAAATTTAAAGAGAGTATACATTCTCATAATCTAAACTAAGGAAATGCAGATCTGTCACATGACAAAAGTAAGTACACCCTTACATTTACCATCACTGCAAATCCCTGAAATTGGAATCCGGTGTTACAGATTAGGTGCCAATGATTAGAAACTTCTTAGGAACTATGCTGGTAAACTCTGCGTTATTTAAATGTCAAAGGTTTAGGGTCCATTGTTCTCTTTGCTTATGGCATGTGTGGTGTTCTCATGCCCACATCAAAAATGCGCTCTGAGAACCTCAGATGGAAAGTTGTGGATGCTGTGCTGATCCCGAGTCTGGGGGCCTCCCCCGAGCAGAGGGAGCACGGCTCGGCCAGGGGACTCCGGACGCAGGAGGGGTCTGGTCTGGTCTGGTCGTCACTATAACACAGTGCCTGCCATTCGTTCTTTGAATTAAGCCGAAACAATAATTAAAGAGGGGGATTACCAAATACATGTAACCATTCATTATATACTCCTTCCTCCTAGAATTGTTACATTGTATCTCTTGTTGCAAAGACATATTTACAGGGGTTACACAAAAAATGGAAACACTATGTGATTTGCAGGTGTGAAAGTGACATGTTTCACATTTGGAAGTTTTGGTATGTTGGGTTTACTTTGTTAAACTTTTTGTAGTTATTTCAGGTACTTATAGAGTGTGGGAGGAAACCAGAGTACCTGGAGGAAACCCATGCAAACTCCAGGAAGGTGCTGCCGTGGCTGGCTTTCAAACCAACGACCCTATTACTGCCAGACGGAAGTGCTAATCGCTTACCCATTGTGCTGCCCACTTGACAATAATAAACCTAAAATATAAATATAATTCTTAAAAAGCATTAAAGGATAAGTTCACCTTTTAGAACGTGTAACATGTTATGACCAGACCCCCGCACAACCCTGATCCCCGTTGTGACAGCTAGCAGGGGATCTTCTCCTCCCTGCTAGCTGTAACTATTTTAAAAACAATGCCTGGTGTACTGTGTTCTGATGAGAAAAGTTGTCTTGCATCTCTTTAGAAATAAAGAACCTTTAGGGCCTGTTCACACTACAAAAATGCACTCCGGATACATTTTCGCTTACAGTTCACATGCAGTTGCTATGTTTCAGTGTGGTTCTGTGCAGAAAAAATGCAGCATATTCTACAATTTTTTTCTGCACCAGAAATTGACTGTACTGGTGTGAACCAGGGCCATTGGAATGCATGGAAAACACCGTGCATGCATTTTTGATGCAGAAAAAAAAGTGCATTGAACTGCATCTAGTGCGAACTAGCCTTTAGGGCTTCTTGATGCTGCATTTTTTTCTGCACAGAACCATACTGAAACATGGCAAACCGCATCAAAACTGCGTGTGGTGTGAACTGAAAGCAAAAATGTATCTTGAATGCATTTTTGTAGTGTGAACTGGCCCTTAAGAAGTATCTCACCATAAACTAAATTTTTTTGTGCAGAGTTCTTTACACAAGCAGGATATTACAACTCTGGAGGGAATTCTGTATATCAACTGTAAACACCTCCTGGTTACCCTCTACAATATGGTTTATGTCGCAATTGTATATGCTATATAATTATTTTTAAATTGCCTTTTTTTTGTATAACTGGAGAGCTACCTTTTAAGTCACAGACCAAAAAGGAAGCAATATATATATATGTCAGACCCCTAGATCTGCGGTGACACAAAGCACAAACTCACTTGATGACCAGAATAACCATCATACACCTAGCCTTAAACAATCCTCCGTGCAGGTTTTCTTTAAAGTGACTCTGTAATATTGATGACATACACTTTGCCTGCAAAGGAATAAAGTGAATAATTACCTCTTCTGCTGGTGGCGTCACTGAGCACCAATCTGTTGTAAAGAAATCCTTCGCAGAAAGGTCTTAAAAAAACGCCACTTCCAGGAGTGTGGATTTGCAGTGTCCACCGCTGCCACTCAGTGGTTCTTCCCACGTCCTGTAATGATCAGCTAGAAACAACACTCCCAGGAGCATCACTTTTCAAAAGTGGCCTGGCAGCAGGAGTGGTAAGCATTCACTTTATTATTTTACTGAATCGGCCTATTTCAGCAACTTCATTAAGGTGACAATCACTCTAAGGGCAACATTACAATATACAACTGTGTGTGTGTTTTGACTGGGAGCAAATTATAGTTTTCTTTTAGGCAGATAAATGAGTGAATATTACGTACATTTTCTATAAGTGAATACGGGACATTTTTATTATCACAAATTGTTAATGAACCAACATGGAGTTAAATAGAATTCGGCACGCTGCATGAATTATAAGTCACAAACACAGTAGGGAGGCTATCGGGATAATACGCAAACAGAAGAGCCTACTGCGATACAATGGCTACTCTACCAGAGTCTTTGTGTGAGCAAGTTGTGTCACTAGGCATTGTACAATTGTAACAACTAATTGCATGTTTCTTTTGTAGGCTTCATATTTCAGATTTAAGCACTTGGACAGCTACATATATTCATCTTTTGGTATGAAGGAGGATGTCTGATACATATAAAGCCTGAAACGTGAGACTGCAAGGCATCGTTTACTGCGCTATGACATAGTCGTTCTCTTGTTGGAGCATTTTACATGCTAAAGACCTGCTATTCCTTGTAATATGATGTCAAGTAGCATTGTGCCTCTTACACTAGGCCTATTATCTGAGAGCTGAGCTTGCAGTGCACCTGCATAAACACGACCAATCTCATATTGTAATCATGCAGAATCCTGATATACAATATAACATAGGCTGCTAAATTTAATCAGAGTATTTATGTAATCATAGAGAAACACAAAGCTGCACATTACTTATCATGACACTTAACATCGTATTGGGCTATGTGATATTTTCTATATTTATGTACATTCAGGCTTAGTTGCCAAATACCAATTACCTTTAACCCATTGACATTAGGGCAGCTTTATTGTAAATTTTTTGTTTATTAAAATCTTGCAAACAACACAATAAAAATCATATTTACATATATACAGATCCTGACCATCACCTAAACACACCCTCGGCCTAAGAAACAATGAAACATTGATCCCATGCATGCAGCCTTTCTTCAAAAATCTGATGTTACAAAAATCCAGGGGATGTGAAAGGACAGAAAGTGAAGCCACACCCCCAGAGACTGACAGACAGCAGCTACGGGGACCTGACATTCCTCCACGCCTTTGTCCAGGCTCATGGCCGCCACCCGTCCTTCTCAAGACCCCGAATCTTCCCAACCTCACCCAGAATGTTGTTCACCACCACCTTGACAGGAAGGACTTTTTTTGCGAATGGAAACCTGACACCGTGCATTCCACGTGTAGTAACTACTAAGCTGACTAGAAAACGTGTCTCAAAATCAAAGTCCCGGTGAGTTTTAGAGGCACCATAAGACCACTCCGCGTAACTCAAGTGGGAAAGGAAAGGGATCCCCAGAGCCCCACCCACCCGCTTGTAGACATCTATATTGAAGGGGCACTGAAGCAAGAAATGGTCCATCGTCTCCTCCACCCTGCTGCACTCCACTCTTGGACAACCACGGTTCTACGCAGAGCGATGCTTCAGGCAGCTTTATTGTAATCTTCTGAAGCGAGACAAAAAAAAACAAAAAAAAAAAGAAAAAGCCCGTTAATGTGTGTGATCATGTTTAGATCAGTATGAGGAACTAACAAAAAAGTGTTTGGGCACAGGAAGGATTATGGCAAAATGTTTGACATATCAAAAGAATATAAGTCCCTTATAAAGGAAGCTCTTTATCATACAAAAGTGATGAGTAAAAATGATAGCCACCCTCATGTACAGTGGTGTATTTTGGTTTTGTGCTGGCCCCATTATTAGTGTCAGTGTGTTAGGAATAGTGTCCCATCATTGGTATCAGTGGGAGGACTAGTACTCCATCATTAGTGTCAGGGGGAAGAAACGTGCCCCATCATTAGTGTCAGTGGGAGGAATAGTGTCCCATCATTGGTATCAGTGGCAGGAATAGTGCCCCATCATTAGTGTCAGTGGGAGGAATAGTGTCCCATCATTGGTATCAGTGGAAGGAATCGTGCCCCATCATTGGTGTCAGTGGGAGGAATAGTGTCCCATTATTGGTATCAGTGGAAGGAATAGTGCCCCATCATTGGTTTCAGTGGGAGGAAGTGCCCCATCTTTAGTGTCAGTGGGAGGAATAGTGCTCCATCCTTGGTGTCATTGGGAGGAATAGGGCTCCATCCTTGGTGTCATTGGGAGGAATAGTGCCCCATCATTGGTATCAGTGAGAGGAATAGTGCCCCATTATTAGTGTCAGTGGGAAGAATTGTGCCCCATCACTGGTATCAGTGGGAGAAATCGTGCCCCATCATTGGTGTCAGTGGGTGGAATCGTGCCCCATCATTGGTGTCAGGGGGAGTAATAGAGCCCCATTGTTGGTATCATTGGGAGGAAGTGCCCATCAATAGTGTCAGTGGGAGGAAGTGCCACATCATTGGTGCCAGGGGGGGGGATAGTGCCCCATCATTGGTTTCAGTGGGAGGAATAGTGCCCCATCATTGATGTCAGTGGGAGGGAATGGTGTCCCATCATTGGTGTCAGTGGGAGGAAGTGCCCCATCATTAGTAGTGTCAGTGGGAGCAATAGTGCCCCATTATTGGTGTCAGGGGGAGAAATAGAGCCACATCGTTGGTATCAGTGGGAGGAAGTGCCCCATCAATAGTGTCAGTGGGAGGAATAGTGCCCCATCATTGGTGTCAGTGGGAGGAATATTGCCCCATCATTAGTGTCAGTGGGAGGAATCGTGCCCCATCATTGGTGTCAGTGGGTGGAATTGTGCCCCGTCACAGGTGTCAGGGGGAGAAATAGAGCCCCATTGTTGGTATCAGTGGGAGGAATAGTGCCCCATCATTGGTGTCAGTGAGAGGAATAGTGCCCCATCATTGGTGTCATTGGGAGGAATAGGGCTCCATCCTTGGTGTCAGTGGGAGGAATAGTGTCCCATCATTTGTGTCAGTGGGAGGAATATCGCCCCATCATTGGTATCAGTGGGAGGAATAGCACTCCATCATTAGTGCCGGTGGGAAGAATCGTGCCCCATCGTTGGTGTCAGTGGGTGGAATCGTGCCCCATCGTTGGTGTCAGTGGGTGGAATCGTGCCCCATCGTTGGTGTCAGTGGGTGGAATCGTGCCCCATCGTTGGTGTCAGGGGGAGAAATAGAGCCCCATCGTTGGTATCAGTGGGAGGAAGTTCCCATCAATAGTGTCAGTGGGAGGAATAGTGCCAAATCATTGGTGTCAGTGAGAGGAATAGTGCCCCATCATTGGTATCAGTGGAAGGAATAGTGCATCATCATTAGTTTCAGTGGAAGGAAGTGCCCCATCATTAGTGTCGGTGGGAGGAATAGTGCTCCATCCTTGGTGTCATTGGGAGGAATAGGGCTCCATCCTTGGTGTCAGTGGGAGGAATAGTGTCCCATCATTTGTGTCAGTGGGAGGAATATCGCCCCATCATTGGTATCAGTGGGAGGAATAGCACTCCATCATTAGTGCGGTGTGGGAAGAATCGTGCCCCATCATTGGTGTCAGTGAGAGGAATCGTGCCCCATCATTCGTGTCAGTGGGTGGAATCGTCGTGCCCCCTCATTGGTGTCAGGGGGAGTAATAGAGCCCCATCGTTGGTATCAGTGGGAGGAAGTGCCCCATCAATAGTGTCAGTGGGAGGAAGTGCCACATCATTGGTGTCAGGGGGGGGAATAGTGCCCCATCATTGGTTTCAGTGGGAGGAATAGTGCCCCATCATTGGTGTCAGTGGGAGGAATAGCGTCCCATCATTGGTGTATGGGGGGCAGCGGGACAGGCGGAGTGCAAAGGGATAGGTGAGGGGCAGTGGGAAAGAAGGAGCACAGAGGGATAGGTGAGGGGCATTGGGATAGGAGGAGCATAGAGGGACAGATGGGGGCAGTGGGAAAGAAGGAGCACAGAGGGATAGGTGAGGGGCAGCGGCACAGGAGAAGCGCAGTGGGACAGGTGAGGGGCAGTGGGACAGGTGAGGGGCAGCTGGACAGGAGGAGTGCAGAAGGACAGTTGGGGAGCAGTGGGGACAGATGGGGGGTAGTGGGACAATGTGGGGGACAGGAGGGAGGAAGTGGAACAGGAGTAGCGCGGTGGGACAGGTGAGGGGCAGTGGGACAGAAGGAGCACAGTGGGACAGGTAAAGGAGCATAGAGGGACAGGAGGAGTGCAGAAGGATATAGGGGGGGCAGTGGGACAGGAGGAGCGCAGAGGGTTAGGTGGGGGGCAGCGTGACAGGGGGCATGGGAAAGGATCAGAGCAGCTGGACAGGAGGAGTGCAGAGGGACAGGTGAGGGGCAGCTGGATAGGAGGAGTGCAGTGGGACAGGTGAGGGGCAGTGGGAAAGGAGAAGGAGCACAGAGGGACAGGAGGAGCGCAGAAGCATAGGTGAGGGGCAGTGGGACAGGAGGAGCGCAGAGGGATAGGTGACGGGCAGTGGAACAGGAGGAGTGCAGAGGGACAGGTAGGGGGCAGCGTGATGGGGTGGCATGGGACAGGATCGGGGCAGCAGGACAGGAGAAGCGCAATGGGACAGGAGAAGCGCAGAAGGATAGGTGAGGGGCAGTAGGACAGGAGGAGCACAGAGGGACAGCTGGAGGGCAGCGTGACAGGGGGCATGGGACAGGATTAGGGCAGTGGGACAGGAGAAGCGCAAAGGGACAGGATTGGGGCAGTGGGACAGGAGGAGTGCAAAGGGACAGGTGAGGGGCAGTGGGACAGGAGGAGCACAGAGGTACAGGTGAGGGTCAGTGGGACAGGAGGAGCACAGAGGGACAGGTGAGGGGCAGTGGGACAGGAGGAGCATAGAGGGACAGAGGGGGGCAGCGTGATGGGGGGCATGGGACAGGATCGGGGCAGCGGGACAGGAGAAGCGCAGTGGGACAGGAGGAGCGCAGTGGAACAGGTGAGGGGCAGTGGGACGGGTGAGGGGCAGCTGGACAGGAGAAGTGCAGAGGGACAGGTGGGGAGCAGTGGGGACAGATGGGGGGGTAGTGGGACAATGTGGGGGACAGGAGGAAGGCAGTGGAACAGGAGTAGCGCAGTGGGACAGGTGAGGGGCAGTGGGACAGTTCAGGGGCAGTGGGACAGTTCAGGGGCAGTGGAACAGGTGAAGCACAGAAGGATAGATGGGGGGCAGCGTGACAGGGGCCATGGGACAGGTGAGCGGCAGCTGGACAGGAGGAGTGCAGAGTGACAGGTGAGGGGCAGCTGGACAGGAAGAGTGCAGTGGGACAGGTGAGGGGCAAAGGGAAAGGAGAAGGAGAACAGAGGGACAGGAGGAGCGCAGAAGCATAGGTGAGGGGCAGTGGGACAGGAGGAGCACAGAGGGATAGGTGAGGGGCAGTGGGACAGGAGAGCGCAGAGGGACAGGTAGGGGGCAGCGTGATGGGGTGGCACGGGACAGGAGAAGCGCAGTGGGACAGGAGAAATGCAGAAGGATAGGTGAGGGGCAGTGGGACAGGAGGAGCGCAGAGGGACAGGTAGGGGGCAGCGTGATGGGGGTGGCATGGGACAGGAGAAGCGCAGTGGGACAGGAGAAATGCAGAAGGATAGGTGAGGGGCAGTGGGACAGGAGGAGCGGCAGAGGGACAGCTGGAGTGCAGCGTGAAAGGGGGACAGGATCAGGGCAGTGGGACAGGAGGAGTGGAAAGGGACAGGTGAGGGGCAGTGGGACAGGAGGAGCACAGAGGGACAGGTGAGGGGCAGTGGGACAGAAGGAGCACAGGGAGGGACAGGTGAGGGGCAGCTGGACAGGAGGAGTGCAGTGGGACAGGTGAGGGGCAAAGGGAAAGGAGAAGGAGCACAGAGGGAAAGGAGGAGTGCAGAAGGATAGGTGAGGGGCAGTGGGACAGGAGGAGCACAGAGGGATAGGTGAGGGGCAGTGGGGACAGGAGGAGCGCAGAGGGACAGGTAGGGGGCAGCGTGACGGGGGTGGCACGGGACAGGAGAAACGCAGTGGTACAGGAGAAATGCAGAAGGATAGGTGAGGGGACAGTGGGGACAGGGGGGAGCGCAGAGGGACAGCTGGGAGTGTAGCGTGACAGGGGACAGGATAAGGGCAGTGGGACAGGAGGAGTGGAAAGGGACAGGTGAGGGGCAGTGGGACAGGAGGAGCACAGAGGGACAGGTGAGGGGCAGTGGGACAGAAGGAGCACAGAGGGACAGGTGAGGGGCAGTAGGACAGGAGGAGCATAGAGGGACAGTTGGGGGGCAGTGGGATAGAAGGAGGGGAGAACAGAGGGACAGGTGAGGGGCAGTGGGACAGGAGGAGCATAGAGGGACAGATGGGGGGCAGCGTGACAGGGGGCATGGGACAGGATGGGGGGCAGCGGGACAGGAGAAGCGCAGTGGGACAGGAGGAGCGCAGTGGGACAGGTGAGGGGCAGCTGGACAGGAGGAGTGCAGAGGGACAGGTGGGGAGCAGTGGGGACAGATGGGGGGTAGTGGGACAATGTGGGGGACAGGAGGGAGGAAGTGGAACAGGAGTAGCGCAGTGGGACAGGTGAGGGGCAGTGGGACAGAAGGAGTGCAGTGGGACAGGGGGAGGGGCAGTGGGACAGGTGAAGGAGCACAGAGGGACAGGAGGAGCGCAGAAGGATAGGTGGGGGGCAGTGGGACAGGAGGAGCGCAGAGGAATAGGTGGGGGGCAGCGTGAGAGGGAGAGGGGGCATGGGACAGGATCGGGGCAGCTGGACAGGAGGAGTGCAGAGGGACAGGTGAGGAGCAGTGGGAAAGGAGAAGGAGCACAGAGGGACAGGAGGAGCGCAGAAGGATAGGTGAGGGGCAGTAGGACAGGAGGAGTGCAGAGGGACAGGTAGGGGGCAGCATGATGGGGTGGCATGGGACAGGAGGAGCGCAATGGGACAGGTGAGGGGCAGCTGGACAGGAGGAGTGCAGAGGGACAGGTGGGGAGCAGTGGGGACAGATGGGGGGTAGTGGGATAATGTGGGGGACAGGGAGGGAGGAAGTGGAACAGGAGTAGCGCAGTGGGACAGGTGAGGGGCAGTGGGACAGGTGAAGGAGCACAGAGGGACAGGAGGAGCGCAGAAGGATAGGTGGGGGGGCAGTGGGACAGGAGGAGTGCAGAGAGATAGGTGGGGGGCAGCGTGACAGGGGGCATGGGACAGGATTGGGGCAGCTGGACAGGAGGAGTGCAGAGGGACAGGTGAGGGGCAGCTGGACAGGAGGAACTCAGAGGGACAGGTAGGGGGCAGTGGGGACAGATAGGGGGTAGTGGGACAATGTGGGGGGCAGGAGGGGGGAAGTGGAACAGGTGGGGGGGGGGAACAGGTGGGGGGCAGTGTATCGGGGGACAGTGAGACAGGAGTGGGGAAGCACCAGTCCTCCAAGCACTTACCTGTCCAGAAGCGGCTCCTCCAGATGGTGTCAGCATTACTCTAGGATGGCTGCCTATGTCCCTTCTCCCCCAGGATCTCAGGCGGCAAAAGAGCGGGCGGGTTCCTCCACCCTGACCTTGTCCTCTTCTGCTTCCTCCTTCGCTGGCACAGGAGAAGTGCAGAAGGATAGGTCAGGGGCAGTGGGACATAAGGAGTGCAGAGGGAAAGGTGGGGGGCAGAGTGACAGGGAGCATGGGACAGGATCGGGGCAGCGGGACAGGAAAACAGCAGTGGGACAGGAGAAGCGCAGAAGGATAGGTGAGGGGCAGTGGGACAGGAGGAGCACAGAGGGACAGGTGGGGGGTAGCATGACAGGGGGCATTATGGAACAGGATCGGGGCATTGGGACAGGAGGACACAAAGGGACAGGAGGAGCACAGAGGGACAGGTGAGGGGCAGTGGGACCGGAGGAGCGTAGAGGGACAGATGGGGGCAGCGTGACGGGGGGGGCATGGGACAGGATCCGGGCAGCAGGATAGGTGAGGGGCAGTGGGACAGGCGAGGGGCAGCGGGGACAGGTGAGGGCAGTGGGACAGGAGGAGCGCAGTGGGACAGGAGGAGCGCAGTGGGACAGGTGAGGGACAGTGGGACAGGTGAGGGACAGTGGGACAGAAGGAGAGCAGTGGGACAGGTGAAGGAGCACAGAGGGACAGGAGGAGTGCAGAGGGATAGGTGAGTGGCAGTGGGACAGGGGGCATGGGACAGGATCAGGGCAGCTGGACAGGAGGAGTGCAGAGGGACAGGTGAGGGCAGATGGACAGGAGGAGCGCAGAGGGACAGGGTGAGGGGCAGATGGACAGGAGGAGCGCAGAGGGACAGGTGGGGGGCAGCGTGACAGGGGGCATGGGACAGGATCGGGGCAGCTGGACAGGAGGAGTGCGGGGACAGGTGAGGGGAAGCTGGACAGGAGGAGTGCACTGGGACAGGTGAGGGGCAGTGGGAAAGGAGAAGAAGCACAGAGGGACAGGAGGAGTGCAGAAGGATAGGTGAGGGGCAGTGGGACAGGAGGAGCGCAGAGGGATAAGTGAGGGGCAGTGGGACCGGAGGAGCGCAGAGGGACAGGTAGGGGGCAGCGTGACAGGGGGCATGGGACAGGATCAGGGGAGTGGGACAGGAGGAGTGCAAAGGGACAGGTTGGGGGCAGTGGAACAGGAGGAGCACAGAGGGACAGGTGAGGGGCAGTGGGGACAGGAGGAGCACAGAGGGACAGGTGAGGGGCAGTGGAACAGGAGGAGCAGAGGGACAGGACAGGTGAGGGGCAGTGGGACAGAAGGAGCAGAGAGGGACAGGTGAGGGGTAGTGGGACAGGAGGAGCGTAGTGGGACAGGTGAGGGGCAGTGGGACAGGAGGAGCACAGAAGGATAGGTGGGGGGCAGTGGGACAGAAGAAGCGCAGAGGGATAGGTGGGGCGCAGCGTGACAGGGGGCATGGGACAGGATCGGGGCAGCTGGGACAGGAGGAGTGCAGAGGGACAGGTGAGGGGCAGCTGGACAGGAGGAGTGCAGAGGGACAGGTGAGGGGCAGCTGGACAGGAGGAGTGCAGTGGGACAGGTCAAGGGCAGTGGGACAGGAGAGAGTGCAGTGGGACAGGTCAGGGGCAGCTGGACAGGAGGAGCGCAGAGGGACAGGTAGGGGGCAGTGGGGACAGATGGGGGGTAGTGGGACAATGTGGGG